AGACAAGAATGAAGATGAGGACATCCTGAGTAAGGACTGGGAAGACCAACATCCCAGAATATAGGGGTCGCACAGAGACCAACTGGCACCTGTTCTCAGATTAGAAAACCCAGGCAGGGCTGTCAGTTGAGCATCCCCTCCCTTATTCTTCAGAATTCTCAGTGACTAGAGTGCCTTAGCCCAAGTGGGGCACCTCAAGTCAGTAGATGTACAAGTCTTAAGTCTCTGATAACGTATTTTTTTTGTGTGTATGACATGCCCCTGTAAATAACACACATACACATATGTAACACACATAGCATGCGTAGGAAACTAACAACATGAGGGATTTGCACGGTTTGGAAAAGGTATAACTTGTGTGTTATTTGCAAAATAAGGTGGATATGCAGGTGAGTGCCTGAATGAAGATGATGTAAAAACCCAGACAGAATAATGGTGTCCCATAAAGACTCATCTTTGTTGACACTTCTGCCAGGTTCTGAATACCTGTGGACAAACAGATCACCTTGACTCCAAATCATTGTGCCAGTAAGGTGTTGACATTGATCAGGAACGATTATCGTCAGTGAAGCAGAATAAATCCCCAGGACTGATCTGGTGCCAAAGTGGGGACCCTGAAGGAACAATGGGGGAACCATCCATCACAGAACACAGAAGGCCCCATAAAATCCCCTCCCTGCTGCTGTCTGAGCCACAGCTCAGAGGTGTCAGGCTAAGCAGTACCCTCATTTCCTCACCAGAAGTGACTACACAGAGATCTGTCAGGCTTTCAGTACACTGCAGTTGTCCTTAGTTCTGAAGAGAGAGGATACCTAGGCCCTAAAGGAGGCAAGATGAGGATACTTTCTGAGTTTTTTTGAAGGAATCCACAAAACAAAGGGTTCCTCACAGAGCCCCATCCCTGTTCACAGTTCTGGGAGGTTTCTCCAAAGCTGTAGTCTGAGGTGCCCATTTATTTAGCTCTATACTGTTTTTGGGTGACAAGAGCTTCAGTATATGCTGGGTGGTAGGGTTTGGGGTGGTGGTGGTGGAAGTAGTCCTGGTTCTTCTACGGAAGGAGTAGACTAGGATCTAACAGGAGTCAAAATAAAGAACTTGTGTCTTTTGAGGCGACCCTCACCAACAGAGAAGCCCCTCAGAGCTCAGGTCCTGTTTTGAGCCCAGGGAGGCACCAGGCAGAGCTGTCAGCCTGAAGTGTCCCCTCATTTCAGCACAAAAAGTATCAGGTAGGGAAGGCCTTGATATAATGGGGAAAGCCCCAGTTCTGTAGAGAGAGGAGTGTAGTCCCTACCTGAAGTAAGCTGTGGAGCTTGAGTGCTAATTGGGGGAACTATACCCATGGGATCTACCCAGAGCGCTGACCCACTCAGCATTCCTGTGAGGCCCCAGGCAGGGTAGCTGGGGGGCACGCCCTGACCTCCCACTTTTGGAGCCTTCACAGGGTAAGGGTATAGTTTTGCGGCAGGAACCCCAGGCTCTGATTCGCATCAAGGTGAGGACCTGAGTGACCACTCAGTGACCATCGAATCCAAACCAGTGTGTTCCTAAGAGCCACCACCACCCCCTGCCCCTGTTGTCAGCCCTCGGAAAGTCCCCACCCGGCTTGCCCCTTGGACGCCCCCCAAAGACCTTAGCAGGATGTGACGTACCTTGCAATCCCGCCTTTTGCGACTGAAGTGCCGGAATGTCCGGCCTCTGAGTGGAGCGGCGCAGAATCTCCACATCGCAGCAGAGTCCCGGGATTGCTCAGGATTCAAGGTGAGGACATTGAATGTCAACTGAGGGGACCACCTCACCCACAATACAGGAGACACTTCATGGTCTCGCCCCTCCCTCCAGCCTAAGAGTTCTCAGGATACATTCAGCCTGAAAAGTCTGGGGCACGGAAGGGCATTGGTCTAAAGAGAACAGCCCCATTTCTGAAGAGGCAGGAGACCTACCCCTAACTGAAGGCTAAGCAAGGTCCCATAGTGCTTATGAGGAGACCTCCCCACAAAAGAGGGGAGGCCCACAACCTTGCCCCTTCTCTCAGGTCTGGAAGCTCCCTAGTAGCCATATGGGCAGCAACCTGTCTCCCATTTAGAGAGGTGAGGGCCTTATTCTGAGCCATAAAGCCCCACCCCTGCTTGCAGACAGACTCAAGTTAGGAAAGGGACGAATTCCAGGCCCAACCCGGAAGCAAGGCCTGAAGCCTGGGTGAGGAAGGAGGCGTCCCCTAATTGGGAACCATGGGGTTTCGTAGACCTACACACACTTAGTGTTCCTCAGTTCTTCCCTGGGCATCTCAGGTAGTTGAGGGACCAGGTCAAAGTGGGCAGCCTAAGGTAAGCAGAAAGAGGAATTTAGGGCTTGAGAGTAGTCAAAGTGAGGATCCTGAGGACTGAGGGAATCACCCTAATTGGAGGCAATGCAGAATCCCACCATTACTGGCAGCCTTGGCCACGGGCATTTGTAGCTAGAGGAGGCAAAGCTTTATTCTCAGTAAGAGGTCTCTGGAAAATGAGGGCCCTGGGATACGTAGATAGCCCTTATCCAAGACAGGGAGGACTTTCCAAGTTGCTACACAGTCAGAAGGAGGACTCTGGAGGAGGACGGAGGCTTCCAAGTAACCCAGGACAGAACAGTCTCACTTTCCTATCATCAGTGAGATACCCTCCAAGATGTGAGAGCTAAGCTGCTCCTTAAACTCAGCCAAGGCATCCAAGGGGCATTGAGGTACCAACTTCAGAGAAGCACAAGGAATAAGGCCCAAACCCTCCCAACTATTGATCTGATGGCCCTGAAAGTAAGCTGAGTAGACTCCCCACTACCCCAGTAGAGAGGGTCTGCACTGTCAGGCCCTGCTGGCAACTGCAAAGTAAGCCTTACCCTAAGTTCCTCCACGGGGTTCTCAGGATGGGCTGACAGATCTGAAGCCTTCTGTGTTCCTAGACTCCTGCTTAGGCAGCCATTATTTTATTTTTATTTTTAGAGCTTGTTTTACATTCAACATAACACGTACATTTAGTTTGATTCCACATTCGCCATGTCCAACCCTAACCCAGTCTCCTCCCTTCCCAACCCTGTAACCCTCCTCCTGTGCCCCTCATATTTATGCACTCCTGTTTGTTCTGCATTTCCTCGATTTGAATGTTGGTCCTCTGGTGCCCTGTGGTCTATTGCTCTAAGGGATGTATTACCATAGAGTATGTGGGTGTGTAATCCTGGGTTGAGTGGTCTGTGTATACATCTTGTTAACTATTGGCCTGAGAGCCAGCCCCAGTGGGGTGAGTTTTATTCCAGGTGCAGAATGTATTCCAGGGCCATAGTATTGGGAGTCTCACCAGATTTTGTCTGACCAGTAATTCCGGTCATTTTTGAGTTTTTGGATTTTGTTCCACGTTTTCCCTCCCACTCCATCCAGGATCTCGAGATTTGATCCTTTCCTGAGTGGTTAGCATTGGTAGCCGGGCACCATCTAGTTCTTCTGGTCTCGAGGGCTATCATGTCCTAGTGTTGATTGCTTCTAAATGCCCCCCCCCTTTTTTTTTGCATTCTTATTCACTTCTGACCCTGGGAGACCGTTAGCTACATCTTAGATGGCCACTTGAAAGCTTTTAAGACCCCAGTCACTACTCACCAATGTAGGATGTGGAGCAACGCTTTTATGTATTTTGTTGTGCCAATTGAGTCTGGTGTCCCCCAGTACTATGGTCCTGAGACAGTAGATCTATTGGATCTTTCTTCCATAGTGTCTGGTTG